GCCTTTGTTTTACGACACCTTTCTCAAGACTTCCCTTTGATTACTTTTCGTTTTTATTCTTCTCTTTTATGATTTTGCAATTTCTAATTTTCTATATATATCTATGCCCATCCTACATAACATCAATGTTTTATAGTTGAAATGTTGTCTTACGCCGTAGATTAATCAAAAGGTATGCAGAGTAGCGCTGTGGATATGAAATATTATTCATTCAGTTCACTTTACGTTTGAATGCTAAAAACACATAAAAGATGGAAATCTCGTTATATCTGTTCTTTAACGTTTATGGATTCATTCTTCATGGATGCAGAAAATTTCTAACAAGGTACATCATTATAATCTGTGCTCATTTATTTGAGATTTTATGTATATTCATAACTATTTGTACATACTTTTTATTAGGCAATACACATCTCTGATTCAAATGAGTATCGTATCGAGTACGACAAGTAAACGTATGAATAATATTCTTCCTACGGTGTTTTTAATAGCTATTTATGCATTTGCCTATTTGAACACTTACTCAACGAACACTATCCAACGCGATAGCAACAGCATCAATAATACCAATACAGACACTTGTACAACAGAATATTAAAATGTAAATAATCATATGAATTGTTAAAAAGGCAAACAAAAAAAAAAAAAAAAAAAAAATAACAAAAAAGAAAGAAACATATCGTTGTGTTCATATATCAAGGGTATAAACAACAAAACACCACCATTCAAATATTGTCTATATGTTCCCTGGCGCTGGTTGCTTTAAAAGCTTTATGCAAATGAGGGTCGTCGTGTTTAATGTATTTATAATTTATGAAATTTTATGTGTATGAAATGTAAGAAAAACAAACATTTAACCGCGCACGTTGATGATAGGACAACGTGAACGTTCTGTACGTACATACCTTACATATAGATCTACAGATCTGTCCAGTCTTGTTAAAAGCAAATATTTCACATAATTGATGCTGATGCTGATGCTGATGCGGATGCTGATGATGATGATGATGATGATGATGATGATGATAATGTTAATGATGTTGATATAGATGATGATATATGAACGGTACGGATAGCAATATTTAACTATATTCTACAAGTGCTTCATTTGTAAGTAGACGCTAATAAAATTTTCATACAATACTTATGCATAATTTAAATAAAAACATGTAATATAGACGGCAAATACCAATGACTGGTCAGACTAAAACAAAATGTAAAACTGAAGAGACCGCATCACGAATGCAACGAATTTCATGGATACCCTAATATCACTTGCCCAACTAATCTCTCTTTCGGAAATATTTTTTTATTTGTTCTTGCATAATCTGCACATAGAATGTACGTGTGTATGTGTAAGTGTACACAAGTCTACATTTAAATTGCATATCACCCTATGCTTTTATCTAATCCCAAATGTCTTTATAAATTTATGAAACCGCATCATAAAACACATCAATTACAGACAAAGTAGAATTCTAACTAATTTATCACGATCATCAACGAAAAGCAAAAACAAAATAAATAAATAAGAAAAAAGAAATGAAAATAAAAACATAGTCTTAGTTGATGGAAATAAGATAACTGTATGCTTAACCAGCAGCCTGTAACAGGAGATAGACATACTTTCATGAAATATTGATAAATGTAGAGAAAGCCAAGCTGAGGCAATCACTCAAATCTGTCTGTCTACTCTACCGCCAACTAGCAGTGAGGTGTAATCTGCCGCAAAATATTTATAAAACAAAATTTAGTATTCGACGATGATTTGTAAACATTGCCTTATATATCTATACATGTCTTCATACATTTATATACGAGGTGTGCTCAAAACTATGGTGACTTTCTCTTTTTCTCAAAAAATATTTGTTCATTCATTTGCGCCAACAATTTTCCCAATCCTCGAAGTACTTTGGTATGGCATTGAGCTCTTACAACGACGCGGTCTTATTTAGGACAAAACTCCGTCCTTCCAAGGGTCTTTTCAGTTTTGGGAACAAGAAAATGTCGCAGGAGGCCAAGTCCGGTGAATACGGCGGCTCAGGCATGATTACGATGTTGTTTTTAGCCAACAATTACGAACAAGAAATGAGGCAAGAGCTGGCGCATTAACTGCCACGCGTTTCATGGCCAAGACACCCGAAAAAATTGTATGGCATAAACCAACCGATATCTCAATATCCTCAGCAACTTCTCTAATAGTGATTCGACGATTCTCCATAACAATTTTTTCTGTTGATGTGCTGGGGCGTCCATGGCGAGCATAGTCATTGCCATCTTCTCTCTATCATCTGCGGAAAGCTCGCTCGCCGAATGCTCCAATCAATATGTTAACTGTATTGTATTTTTCACACCAAATTTAGTATACATTCTTTGATCCATCTATTTCGATAGCAAAAAGGCGGCAAGCACGTTAACACACATCTACCCTTTACGTAGCCTACGAAAGTTGAAAAATCACCTGTTTTTTCGAGCACACCTCGTATAATTAAAACGTTTGCTTTAATCTATTTGGGCATAAAGGATTTTCTTAAAAGGTAATTATTTCGTAAAATTTTCCCTTAAAACTTTGTCTTACCAATGGAGTAAAATATCGCAAGATTTTCATAAAAAATGCATTCACTCTGAAGGCCTTGATATGCATTTCACCACTAGGAACAAGATTAGCTTTTTATGTAATTACACCTAGCATCGCGGCATAAAGAACTGAAGGCTTCTTGAATTGTTAGCATTGCGTTGCTTATGGGTTTTCAGAGGAACATGCTCGAAAGAAGGCCAGCTTTAAGGTTTCATTTAAAGAAACAATATTTCCGTGGAAAATGATAATACAAACCAGCCTTCAAACCAAAGTAACGTAACGGGCGCGACCGACTTTTACAATTTCCAGAATAAAAGTGAGAATGTGTGTGTTGTACATATCGTCGTATCGTTCACAGCTTTTTTTTTCATAGGCATGTGGGAAATTTGGCATGTCTTTTGACCGGTTTAGGTAGTATCCAAACTGTTTTGCAAATTTGTAGGCGGCATCGTCGACCGGGGGAATATGTGCCAAAAAATACTACACAGTTGAGCAGACGAACAGACGGATATGCTTAGGACAACTTGAGCTGGCCAAGAATTTACACACCCTAAGAGTTTCTTGAAGCTGGCTTCTGCGCGTTATAAAGTCACTGAATTTCTTAAATTTTTTTAAAGGTATTATAAAATCAAGCTTAGAACATTTGTTCACGTATCTATAGGTTTATCTACTGTAGTGCATAAGTAATAAGCAAAAATTCAATTTTCTACTTCTTTTGAAAAACAGAGATGCCCTAACTCTACGTGGTACTGCAAGCGAGTCGGAACGATTTTGGAACGATTAACCCTTTGAACATTCTACAATCAACTTCAGAACAGAATATCAATTCAATATTTTACTTTATTAATACTACTAAGCGTATTATCTAATATCCATTTATTTAAATTAGAGCCGATCAAAAACATATACACTTTGTGGGATCTGTGAAGCTTCCTTCTTGACAAAATTGCTACAGCCCCTCTCCTTCAGTGACCCTGCCTGTACAACAGCCAGTTACCTGTTACATTCTAAAGCTAAACTTTTAAAAATTTTCGCAATTATTTTGAAATATTTTGATCTGTAAAGAAACAAAAAAGGGTTGTTTTGCGAAGCTACTGCACCTTATTTACTATCACTATTAATTTAGCCAGAGAATAAATTCTAAGGCCAAACTCTTAACGCACTAGCTCATCTAAGGAGTATCGGATTTATTAAAAACTCTACCGCATTTGATATTTGAATCTAAGATCAATAAATTGTTCGTCGAGACTCTTTCCTTACTCGGGCACTCAGGCGCATTTTATGAATTCGCTACAATTTCTGTTTTTAAAAATGTTAAATAACAAAAAAAAAAAAAAATTACTAAACAAGGTTCAAAAAATACTCCTATCGTTGTCATTACAATTTCTTTAGACAGAAGAAATAAAATCTTGGATTAAAACGTAGCAAGAGCATTGGCAACTAAGACTATGTCTTTTTTTTTTTTTTGTTTTTCTTATAACGTAGACTTGATGTTTAGTCTTTTTCTTAATAAATTTTTTTAATTCATTTGTGCTAATTTCGAAAATTTCACCCACTTTTAATCCGATCTTAATTTTAAGATTCATACCCCAGCCGAATCTTACCTCTCTCGTTCACTAAAAGTTCTCTAAAGATTCGTTTAATTGAAATTTTAATATTGAAAAGAAATTTTATTGAATTGAAAAAAAAAAAAATGTATATATATATATATATATATGAGATATATATATGAGATAATACAAAGAAAGAAAAAAATTGACAAAAGAAATGCACGATTAACTTAAAAAAGATGAATGCAGTCTACAATAACGACAACAATACCAACACGAACAAGAAAAAGGAAAAACAATAATATAAAACAGAAAATGTAATGAATCAGTATTGTATACCAAGTGAAAATGAAGGATAAAACTTGACACTGTCAGTCAAAAAAAAAAAAAAAAAAAAAGGAAAACATGAGCAGGGACATGACTATACCAAAAAGGTAAAGAATGAAAGACAAAGACGGAGAGACGGCAACAGAAAGCAAATGAAGTAAGTGATTATTTTTGTTTTATTTGCTTGTTTGTATGCATGTATGTGAACACAAATAACAAGGAGGAGGAATTTATATAACAATGACAAGCACTTAAACGCTTGACTTTACATATTAATTTTTCATCAATTAAATGGAAAAAAAAAAAGAGGAAAAAAATAGATGAAAACGATGACGGGCCCACGACGACAACAAGCATGAAAATTAAAAAAAGGTGTTGATATGAAGTCGATATGTTTATTACATTAAAGAATAAAAAGATAAAAAAAGAAAGCAAAAAACGAGAAACAAGTATAATAGGAAAGGCGATGATGACAATTTCAAATTCAACACGAATACATGTATAAAGAAGAAAAATAATAGAAAGCTGGATTTTAATAGTTTCTGTTTTCTTTTTTTCTATTATTATTACTGTTTTTATTGTAAACTGTTGTTTTTAATCATCGTCATCATCGATAATAGCTAGACGACGCCGTTTGGCTGCTATTGCATTCGATTTCAATAATTCATCTTCCACCTCGTCTTCTTCATCATCTCTCGTTGGATAATGACGTTTGGCTGACTTTTCATCCGATTTAAATTGCTCATCCTTCCCGTCCCCTCCCTTCAATTGTTCGCCATCATTACTATTAGTATTGTTGTCCCGGTCAGTGTCTGCATTTGAAGTTGAATGAGTACGAAGATGGCGACCTTTTTTATTTGCCATTATTTCTTCGACACTATCGACATCATCATTGACGCCAGTTAATGTAATATTAGTTTGATTGTTTGATTGTTGAGTGTTTGTGACCGGGTTGATAAAGGAACCGGTGCCATTATTATTGATGGTATTGTTTTTAGCTTCTAGTTCATTATCATCCTTGTCGGAGTCAGATTCAGATTCAATTACATTAGCACGTCGTGCCTGAGAACTAACAATTTTCCTTGGCTTTGCTTTAATTTCATTATTGGCTCCTTCTTCCTCTTCTTCTTCATTTGACGAATCGCCCAATTCAGCTAAACGCTTACGGTAATCCTCAGAGTTGAAATTTAAAAGCCCATTGTCTTCATCGTCATCATTATCGTCACTGCTCTTTTCATCGAATCTTGCTTGCCAAGTATTCAAACTATTTTTCTTGGTGGCTCTGGCATTTTTAAGTTGATCAAACATATCGGCGGCATTCCCCTCCTCCCCCTCGTTTTCCTCCTCATCGCTACTTAGATCTTGATTACGTTTCTTTTTATTTAATTTCTTTTGAATTTTCGCAATGAATTGTGCATCATTCTCTCCTTCGGAATCGGACGTCAATTTCTTTTTCTTCTTTTTAATATTTGTTGATAATTTCTTCTTATTCTTCTCCTTCTTAGTTTTGGATTTTAAAGGAAGTCTTTCTTCGGTCTCTTCATCACTTTTACTAAATAATAAAGTGTTCAGTTTTTCTCTTTGCTTTGTTAAGTAATCACTTCGATCATCATTTTCTTCGTCAGAATCATCCGCGGTTTTAATTTCTTCGCCATTGGCATTGTCGTCTTCGTTATTATCATTTTTCACATCTTCGGTTTCATCTGGTATTTCTTCGCCAGCGATAATTTTGGACCTTAATTTCAAATCAGCCGAATTTAAATAAATAGGTATACGCCAATAACTCTCCATGCCTAAAACAGGCGGTTGTACACCAAAAGCCAATAAAAGTTTTTGGAAATTTTCATCTTCCATGGCTTGCTTTTGAATCTCTTGCAATGGTAATAATGGTACACCGTCATCTTCTTCGGAAGGCTCTTCTATATCTTCAGCGGCATCGTCTAAGCATTCACGTAACCAATTCAAGGCCTCTTGATTTGTATCTTGATCCACCTGAGACAGCAAACTCTTGACGGTGCCAATGTCTAAAGGTGCGCGAACTGTCTTATGCTTTCGAGGTTTTGCCGGTTTTCGATTGCGATTTTGCAAAACTTCGCCATTTTGTGAAATTCCTTCTGTAAGCTCCTCTTCTGCATCAAAATCTTCGATTTCGGAATTTTGCTTCTTCTTGGATTTGGCCCTTTTAGGTTTTTCGGGCATTATTTCAGACTTATCGGCAATTAGATGGAGCTGCAACATGCGTTTAATAACTTGCTGTTTATTACGTCTGCCTTCAAAATCATCGAGAATTTTTTGCAAGCAGTCTACAGTGAATTAAAAAATGAGTAAAAAGCAAAAAAAAAAAAAATCAAAATGAATTTCTTAATTAAAATGTAAATATTACCATTTTCCACTCGATATTGATCATAAAGGCTTCGCAGTTGTTCATCTTCTTCGGTTCCCCACAAATTTTTGTCTGTCCGCATATTTGTAGATTTTTTAGTAGGAGCTTTAAACATTAGACCCAATTCCTTCAACTTCTTCAAAATGCCACGTCTTGTGCGAGTTTTATCAATTAGATTGTCCAAAATCCAATCGATAACATCTATGAAAGTAAGTACAATAAAATCGCAAATTTCTAGAGTTCGATGATTCGAATACGGTAAGACTTATTACTTGCATGAAATATGTATTGAAAAGAATTTTCTTTTTTTTTTGATTTTTAAAATTCGTGATTTTCTCGTGGAAAAATATCGCCAGCTACAACACATATGGCTTTCGAGACTTATCAGTTATTAAGAAAAACTTGTGGTGAATTGAGCGAAAAATTTAGGCGATTGGAAAAAGGCCTTTAAGGTTACGTTGGCCTAAAAAGTTCGAATAATAAAACTTGCAAATAATATCAAAGGAAAATTCCTAACACTCCTAACACATTCTTGAAAGAGCAACAAAGGTATCATCTATACCACACACCCATCGTAATTGAGCTATGCACCTGCCCGGACTAGCGACCATTGACTTGAGAGCTGCTCTTCTGCTTTGCTTATGCCATACCATACATTGAGAAATTGTTATGCGTAAGCGATTTAAAAATAAGAAAACTCTGCCATGCGAATTGAAAGCTGAGGGAATTTCGTCTAAAAAGTGTTGAAAGACGAAACAAAATGGTTTTGCGGGATATTGCTATGGAGACCAAGAAAGAGCCTTTGGCCGCAGTGCACGATATACGATAAATCTGCATTTTACATTGGTACGTAGAATGCTTTGATCGAAAATATCTTCTACGAATATTAAGAGATGAGTGCATAATTGATCCTAATTGATCGACAGTTAAGTAAAAAAATTAACTAATAAAATATTTTGCAATTTTTAAATATTGACCTAATGTAGTTAACATTTCAAGCACAAGTTTATGCAATCTTTGCATCCGCATCGGAATGTTTAAAAAGACAACCCAGGGGAGAGCTAATCTGCATTCACTCCGACAGTCGAACTGCTCAAGGCCCTGAAGGGCATGGGTTAACCTCTAAGCTTGTATTGGGATGGTCTTAAACCCTGGATGAAGTAGGGAAGCATAACGTGGTGCACCCATCTTGGGCAACCGGACTGTGTAGATCTCGAAGGGCTATGTGGTCCAGAACCTTTCTATGATGCTCCAAGGAATCATATCAAAAGACTAGTATCGCAACGGGTTATAACTCCCTCAGATACGCCCTGAAAAATGTTGATGTCTCAGATACCGATTCATGCATATTGTGCGATGGGTGAAAAAAACGTCCAATCGTACACTATACAAATTCGCGGTCATCTGCAGCATCAGATGGCGAAATTTATAAGGGTTCCAAAGTTGCAGGGCTAGGGAAGCGAGCGAGCGCAATGGATCTTTTAAGGTCGTGCTAGGGATTGCTCATCACTTTGAATCACATTGCAATGTAGTTAGTATTAAAAATTTACTCTAGCACGAATAAAACTTTGCCAATTTTTTCTTTAAAGTTGTGTGAAAAAGTACCTTTGGTGTGTGCCGTCTTTTGTTTGAAATATATTCTTACGCCTTTTGCTATTTAGTTCTCTCTGGTAATATTCTATAAGATCAATTTAGAATTCTTTGTCAATCGAATGAAGTCGAGAAATCTCTATTTTAAAAATTAATGCATTGACCGGACGTCGGATATAAAACTTAATCAAAAAAATCATTTCAAAGTCAATTTAACGTATAACTGCAGTAAGCACGACTAACTGACCGTATATATGTACCACACATACACTGAAGACTTTTGGAGAAAACAGTTATCACAGTGTGACTAACGTAAACTAGTGTAAAAAGAAAAGCAAAAAAACGTAAAAATGCGTAAAATTTTTATTATCATCGTAGCGGAAGGCCACAGCTGTTGATAATAGAAGAACAATAAAGGAAAGAGAAATTATTTTAATCATAGAACTGTCACGCAATTTTATGCGCAATGGCCTCTTAAATCAATCACCCGCTAACTTTTCTGTTTACTTGCAGCATTTATAAATTTATAAAGGAATGCGAGAAAAAAGAAAGAATTGAGGGAATGTAACCATCATTGGAGCACTTATTTGCGCTCGGCCGACGAGACTTTTTATTGTCAACATTGTCATCATTATTATTATCATTGTCAATATCATGCGGTTACATATATATACATATATATATGAGTAAATTTGTAGATATATTGTTCATTATATGTGCTCAAGTTTGCAGGGGTCAGTTTAAATGAATTCTGTGGTATTTGTATTGATTGAAATTGAGATACAAAGCTTACCCTTGTCAGTTTCAGGATTCCTTTGATTCTCTTCAAAGAGAAAACGTAATTCAGCCTCTTGTTCTTCAGTCCAAGAGCCTTTGGTCCCACTGTTTGCAGAAAAAAAAAAAAAAAAATATTAAAATGTATGCAGGAGAGGAACAAAACACGCGTCCATTTAGACGCAGACAGCACATGAATGTTATTGCATTTTCTTTTCAACAAGCCTTTTCTGTTTACAATCATCAATCTATTCGTGCTCTGTGACATCTATATATATATATATATATATATATATGGACTATCACAGATAATCCGGTTTATAATCATAATTTCAACAAACCTCGAGCTAGCCACACGTGCTATCACTTGCACACATGCATGAATGTATAGACAAACAAGCAACGTATATAAAATATTATCATCATCAATATCATTATCATCATCATCATCATCATCATCATCATCTTAATCATCATCATCGCCATCGTCATCGTTCAATGGAATTGTTAAGAAAATTCAATAAATTGTTCTTCAATTTGATTGCATTTAAATTAAATTACGTTGGCATTGCTTTATCGATTGCGTTCTTTACTAAAGCCGCAACTGTTGAAATTTCTGATGTGTATATGTATGCTTACATAAATGTATATTTTTAAGCACTTACCGTTCATAGGCGTCACAATAGCCTGTTTCCAGTTCATTTGCTTCCTTGATATTTTTATTAAATAATAATTCAGCGTAGATTTTCGGATTTGCTGGTGCAGTCTCGACAAACTTTCGCACTATATAAATCCCCAAACGACGCAGTTCTTCGTGATGCGTATCGCGAGCGGCATGAAAGACTTGTTGGAATATTCGAAATAATTTTGCCTGAATTAAGTTAAAGGAACACAAAAATGATCGTTGGTTTAAGTTCGCAGTACAAAAAATTGAAAAAAAAAAGATTTTTCCTCTTAAATTGATGAACAATTTGTAGGTCATCTGGTGCAAGCTTCTTAATAATTTCTAATATTATGTGAAACAGTTTTAGTTAAATACATCTATTCCCGATTGGTTTACTTTGCTAAATTCAAAAGGGAAGAGAATGTAGCCATAAAGACATCCTTCAATAGAAGAAAAGAAAATAAATCAATGAATTCTTACGAGACATTTCAGATATCGTGAGGTACGTTATACGATATATACAGTCGTTTTCCTTACAGCCTATAAATATTTTATGAAGAACGGTAGAATTCACTACATTTAGACTAGCAGTGATATCATAAGTTGTCATATGGCGGAATGCTTTAATTAATGCCTTTATTTTTGTTCTCATTAGCTCCTACTGACCTTCCAGAGCGTGATACAAAAGCACCGAAACGAAACAAATCCAGTGTGGAAAAGACAAGGAAATGACTTGTGGAACAATCTAATGTTACGGGTTAATGTCACTTTTGTACTTTCTTTCGATATTCTTTCTTTAATTTAAATTGCTCTCCTGCTATGATAACTTCCGATCGAATATTTCGGACACTTCGATGTGTTTGATCTTACTGAAATTTTTCGATTTCGAAGCCATAAAGTGGAGAAAAAACTTTTCTTTGACAATCCGTTCAAACTGAGTATTTAATAAAAGGCCTTGGGGAGCAGAGTGCAAGTAGCTAAATACGTTAATTCTAAATTAAGTGCGTCGGATATGGTGGGTAATAATATTTTCTTAACGATTCTATTGATGTAGGTGTCAAATAAGAGGACTTGGAAAGTAGAATGCCACTTACGATAAAGTAAAAGCTGTAGGACGAATGGTATAAAAAAATTTTTTTTAAAATAAACTTTTCTATTAGTGAGCTCCACCTGATTAAATAATGAGCCAGAATCGCGACTACCAAGACAGCATGGAAGCCACGGGTCTTGAAAAGAGAAAAAAAGAAATAAAATACTTTTTATAAGTAGTATCCTGTCGTTCTGCTGCTTGATATACCCTGCCGCAGTTTAAACTTTGTAATATGCGAACACGACTAACGGAGACCTACATAACCAAACTTCTTCTGGTTAATGTTAGTAGGCTTTATCAGTTTATAAGGACTGTTGTATTTATCATTAGTGTCCTCAAATCCCCCTAAGAATACGAGTAGGCTAAGGACCTCAATTAATATCTCAATGGCCGTAGGTTCAAATCTCAAAGGCGATAGAGTTTTCAATAAAAGCCGATAACTTTGGATGCTAGTGTTTTAAGACTCTATCTATTCTTTCACTTTATTTTTCTGGCTAAATTAATTATAATAATAATAATAATACTTTCCTCAAGGTTTCAAAAGCTGAGACAGAAATTAAAAAGTAGCTATGTTCGCAAGCATGAGTATCCGAGCGGGTGAGAATCACGACTACCAGCGTTCACGAGTTTAATTTCAAATGCGGTAGAGTTTACTTTGGTCGTAGTTAGAAGTGCTCACTCACCGATGGCGTTATCGCTTCCCACTCCCTATCTTCTTCTCTTTCTACACTCCTTTCTGACCGTAATCGTGTCACACGAATAAGCGACACCCCCGGAGTGATAGGGGAAAGCAATTTTTCTCCCAGTCTCGTTTATTTGACTATACGTATAAAACCTTAAGGCGCTTAAGATTTCAATGCACAAGATTAGTCGGAAAATCATTTCGCCTCTTCTCTTTTTTAAAGAGGATGTAATTGCATTTTCTTACAGCCGAATTCACTTTTTAGGCCGCTACTTATTTCGACAGCTGATATAGTGAGGCTTAGCTATGAAAAGACTTATTTTACTCCAAGCAATAGCTTCTGCTTGATGCTGTGTCAAATATGGATAGCTGAAGTAGTGTTTTCAGTAGATGGAGCAGAGGAGGTGCTGCCACAACACGCCAATGTCAAAACCGGTCCATAAAATTTCGTTCTCTTGATTATGTATCTTGTTCTGGAAGGCCTATTGAAATTAATAACGATAAATCAAAGGCACTAATTGACGCAAACGGTCGAATAACAGCTCGGAAGATCGCTAGGAAATTGAATTTCTCGAATTTTAACTGTTAATGGTCACGTAAAACCTTTTGATCTTTTATTTTGAGCAAAAAAGAAACGAGATTTTCCGGACAAGCCAAGAAGTTCTATTTTTTCAAAGCCTTTCAAAAAATATAAAACGAAAAGGATGCTGATCGATCAATTGAGCAGGCGAGACTAGAGTTCTTGAAATGAAATTGAACGACCCATACGATCATAATGCGAAGTTCTGTATACATAAATATGAAAAAAAGTACCACCGATCTACTTATTATTAATTAATTTTCATATATTTATGCATTTTATTCCTATAATTTACAAGTATTATGGAATGAGAAGCGCAGTCCAGACATGCAAAAATATGTAGATAAAAACTCATTCCACACTGTCTTTTAAATGAGATGTTTCTTTTCCTTTAATTAAAAACTACCGCTACATCTACCACCGTTAAATTTCTTTATGTCCGAAATCAAAAAAAGAAGGTATAAAATGAAAAAAAGAAAAATAATAATAAATGTAATCATAAAGTAAGTAATCCAGTGACAACAAAATAATTGCAAGTGTTACACTAACCAGCAGTGCAGCGCAGCATATTTCCTGTGTCGCTGTAACGTGTTACGAGTTCTAGGAAAGCGCTATGCAACTGAAATGAAACGACCCTAGCAATGTGACAACGAATTTTTTAACACTAATGAAATTAATTACAATGAAAGCATAAGGAAATTTTGTTTTATGAGAAAATTTATGCAAAGATAATGAGCATAGGTCGGTAGTCGGTAAGGGAAGAAAGAAAAAGCGAAAGAAGTCATTAAAAGGAAAATTCTAAAAAAAGGCAAACAAAGACAAACTAAAATAGCATAAGACACAAAAAGAGAAAGGGATAGACAAAAAGGGTACATGAAACAAGCTACTGCAAAATATTTTGCGGTCATGATGATATAAATGTTTTTAATAACTGTTTCAAGGTAAGGAAGTAAGTTTCACGTTATTGCGAAGCTATAACTCGTACAGAACAATGCTTTGATATGTTTTGAGTTTCGGATTAAAGGGGAAAAACATACTTTTTCACTAATATAGCCAATTAAAAGTGCAGCTCTATACAATTTTGAATATGAGAAACGAGTCTTTTGCAATTTCTATTAGTATTTAGTAAATAAAAGATGCTTTGATATAAAATTTAAAAAGTTAAATTTTTGACGTTTTTCTATAAAAAAAAAAACATTAAAATTTTTTTTTTTTTTGTTTTTTTACAGAAGTAAATGTTTTCAAAGTCAACCTGAAAGAACATTAAAGCAACAATCAAGTTGCAGTAGTTGTAGCATTTAATTAGGAATTGCATTTCTTTACTTTAATTAACTTGTGTTCGTGAAGTGAAAGCTAATTGTAATGATAATTTGAAACGATTTTTAAATTCTACGCAACTTAAGTATTTTTATATTAAGCACTTAAAAGCAGACAACGTATATTTCTATAATTCACCCCTTCAACTATGCAATGATAAAATTTTATTACATACTGTAAAAATAGAAGAAAAGTTCCTTGCATTTTTTTTTTTTTTTTTTTTTTTTGTTGCTAACTATATAAATCATTGAAGAGATTTTCCTCTCTCTTCTTTTTCCCTGCGCTTCATCAACATAAGTCCCGTAAGCTGATGTGGTACCTTCAGCAATTCATTCCATTTTATAATTCGTAATGTTATTTAGTTGGTTGTTTACGATTGCTATGCTAATCTCTAGACTTTTACTTAATGCTGCTCGGATGAATGTAAAATGTTTATATTCTTGGCTAAACTTCCAAGTTAATTTAATTTTTTTTTTTCGTTTTTTTTTTCAAGCATAGAGCAAAGAAATGGAAAACATTACAGCAGTTGCAATGATATGAAAAGGCTTTTCTTTTAAGGCGACTAAATCACTGTAGGAACAGCTGATGCTAATAATATTTCCTGAAAATTTGCTGCTCTTCGTTTTTTTTCCTTTTTTTTTTTACTCGAACGAAAATTTCTTATGAGAAAAAAAGAGAAGAGAGAAAATGGTCAGAACTCAAGTAATTGGCGAATGGTATGCTTCTTCCACAAGTGGTGGTGTTCGAGTTTTATGCTCTGCTTCTGACATTGATTTATGTTTATTTTGCATGCATTCATATTGAAAGCCAGCCGTTATACCCAGAAAGCAGAAATAAAAGTAAATAAGAAAAAAATAATAGAAATAAAAAAAAAAGGCATATTTTGTGGTGATAGCAGAATTATGCATGCTTTGGTTTACCCAGCTGTCCACCCAATTCAAGAGATGCTATTTTTCGCATTCATATAATAAAATTTTATCATAAAATATAGCGTACCACATATAAAGAGCATAAGCATTTTTTCTATTTTTGCTTTTTTTTGCCGCTTTTAGTTTATCATCATCAGCAAGATATCCTTTTTCCTTTTTTAACATTGAAACACCTGTAAACTTACCTGATATAGCATGGCCGGACATGAGCAACCATAACCGATACGATGTAATATGGTTACAGCTGCTCTCAGTGATTTCGATGGTATTTGCTCCCAATCGCTAAGCACAATAACACAAGCACGAACTATTTTTGGATTTAGTAATCTGCAATTCATGATAAAAATGAACCAACAAATGATTTCAACATTATTACATAGAAATCGTAATTAATCATTATTTAAGGGGTTAAGAAAAAAAACGTTCTGCAAGTGAAATTTTTCTAAAAATATTTGCTAAGATTTTCCATAAAAGTTTAAGGAAATTTAAGTTTTTTATATAGTTACGTAGACAATATTTATTTACCTGAATTTTTACTAAATCAATTTTTTATTGCACAGAATATCACAAAATTTCATTATAACAAATAGAAAACTAAAAGCCCTTCACAAGGCTAGTGGGTGGATTGAAAAGTCCTGAATAGTTCTCTTGCTATTATAATGAATTGTTTCAGAGAAATAAATTCAAAGACTAAAGTCTTAAAGCAGTAGCCCTTAGGGAACTGTATTTTAAAAGTTTTTCGAGAGAGGTGTTATCTAAACATTACGCAACAATCTTCTGGAAGCGTTATTACCGAAATTTATTTGCGCTTTCAGTGGCATATACAAGAGAGGCCACTTGCCAGAAGCAAAAACTTTCCTTCTTCCTTTTTGGTCGAACGCAACTGAATGATAATACGACTAAACACAATCGCAATTCACATAACCATTATACCGGTTATGTCAAGTAACTATAGTATTCCCATTTGGAGATTATTGACTGCTTCATTGCGAAGCATGACTCTGCCTAATTGAGCTCAATGATTGAGCGGAACATATGAGCCATTTCTATGTGGGAGGATGAACCGCGTGTAGTGTATTTGTGGCAACTCCCAGTGCTGGTGGTCGTAATTAAGAATGATTATGAAAAACTATTAACGCAGTTGAGACGATCACTTCAGAAAAAACAGTCACAAATTGGGGAAAAGCGCTGTAAGACGATTTTTTATTGTGAGGACTCTCTGCCCAAGATTACCTTGGCCATCCAGCGAAAGTCGCAAACCGTGAACTCAAACGAATATGCTCGAGTTCATTAAAAAACTTTCTCCCCAACTGTGCGACGATTGAAACCATTTTCACTGCAAACTTTTTCAAGTATATTGTAACCGTTTTTAGTAGATCACGTATTACTGATGTAAAAAGGGCAACTACATGTTTCCATAAAAGCCGATTTCTACCTTGAGAACGGTGTCACTTTGTAATCTTTAAATCTTGCTATTTTGAACCCTTGGTTGGAAGACTAGATGGACCATTTGGTGCGGCTATTCAGACCATTCTTCACATTCTTCGCGTGAATGCCCCATTATGTATTTTATGAGTTATTAACATTAAACAAACATAATAAATAAGCATATAGCAAGACGAAAAGTCAATACAAATATTTTGTTCAAAGAAATTCTACTTTTTTTCTTCTTTCTTCACTTCTTCTTTTGTTCAATTTGCTTTTAAACAGTCTAAACGTAGCATCCGCGTAACATGCTACAGTATTGCCTGTAAGTAAAACTCCTAATTACATTAGACATCCGCAAGCAATACGAGCTACTCAGCATCATTACCGGCACAGAATACGCAAATATTTCTAAGATGATGTAGAATTTGCGAGTCCCTTGGGATAAAAGAAATCCTGTTGATGTTTGCCATCAATCAAGCCAATCATCTATAGCAAAGTACTAAACGATTTGAATTTACATGCTTTCCCCACTAATGTAATTTAGCATCTTCTAAAAGAGCAATACTTTGTTTTGAATTTATTATTCAAGTTTTGTAAAATAAATTTTTCTTTTTAATTGTTTATTTAAGTAAACAACACTTGCACGTAAAATGAGACAAGAGATTTTTGTTTTGCTTGCCCCTGAAAGTAAGCAATGATTTCTTCACATATTAACAGCAAATTGTTATGGCAAAGAAAACAAAGGATCAACGATTGCGTCGATATCGTATGAGATTAACTTACCCATAAAAAAGAAATAATTGAAAGTTTATGAGTAACCAGGAAATCAACGAAAGTTTGTTATAGATTTGAACACATCCGTAAAAGGGTAAAAAGTAAATTTTTGTGTTTTTCTACAAAATATTTAAAGCAATAAAAATTTGAAAAGCAAACGAAATGACAAACTTCGTTACATATGAAAAGTTCAAATTTTAGATATAATCAAAAATAATTCTTCTCTTTAAAGTAGAAATAATATTTGACATTAATCTCTAATTAGTTCCCTAAGGTCTTAGTAACGATGATAATGATGATTGCAGTACGAAGAAATGTGTCTACGCGTCTATGGAATACGGAATGAATGATGAAAAAAGTAAATATAAGAACAAAGGGGGAAAAACATTCATTCATTTTTAGCTTCATTACAATTAAAAGCCGTTCGCAATTAGAGAAAGTAAAATAAACTACGTAAGCATTGGAGTGTGTGCACGTACTGCTGGAATATAATGTAACTCTTAAATAAGAACCACCATTTATATGTAAAGTTTTAATTTAAATACCAACAGATGACGTTTTGTGGAAATCAAAAGTTTTCTGCCCTTTTAATTTTAATTTCACTTTAATTTCATTCCTGTAGAGACCAACTTTTCCAACAGAAGCGTACTCGATGTATTACTGTATAAGTAGTGCGCAATAATTATATAATTACATTACTGTCCTGTTTAAGTAATACTTTGTTACATATACCATTGAGATTTCAATTTTTTTTCTCTTTTTTTTTATGGTCTATATATCTCTTTGGATCGAAAATGTGGTATAGTTGTAGGGGGAAATTTTTGAAAGTGATTATTTCTTAACAAGTGATGTCATTTTAAATTTTTTGCCTACTTTTGAATTGTCAACAAACAACTAACTGCCTTTGGTTTGATATTTAACTATCAAAACCTAGAAGATATTCCCAGTCACGGATCCAAACAAAACATATAAAGTTCGTGTGTCTTTATGGAAAGAAAGTCGAAGAAGGTGCTTGTATGGCTCAGTTGCCTGGCCCTCAAGCTATTCCTGTCAGATCGATTGAATAGAAATAGTTCAACAACAGTTCCTCCTATTTTGCCTTGCCTCAATTTGCGTTCCGAAAGTGAAAGATGTTACTCGACATACCGCCGTTTTCTGCGTCATATTGACGCTATGGATGTGGACGACGCTAATTTCCCACTTGCGACGAAGATTGTGAAAGAATGGCTTCGTTTCGTGGAAAATTTAAATGACACGCGTTACATATATAATTCAAAGAAGTACTCACTAACTGTCCGTTTCAGATGATTGCTACGAAATATATACGATATAACTCTGATAACTCTGTCTCCGGTATTATTAGAATATTTTCATGTTTTAACTCTGACTCGAAAAAGCATCAATTTGTGACGAATCTCTGCATCGAAATCTGTAAGGGAATTATATATAGTTTTGAGTTCGGTTTTTTCGAAAAGTATAAAAAACATTATTTTGAATGTGGCTTTTAAAGCCTTGATAATTGTTGGAATAGAAGGACGCAAAGACAAGAAAAGCAAGTGCAGAAGTGTTACGTAATTCGCTCTTCAAAATTCCGTTGAATATATCTTCGGATTTTATAAATTCAACTCAGCTCCATGCTTTGCATGCTGAAAATGGCCACGACTCGCCCTTAAGCATTTCTACAATTAAAAGAAACCTATAATTGACAGTTAATAGTTGTTATTGTTTTGAAATGTTCTACAAACATTAACGAGGACTTTTTAGAGCTTAAGTGAAGAATGGACGAGTCGTAGTTTATTTGCAAACACATCTGCGATGAGTAAGCAACTTTATCTTTGCGCCATTAATTGGTATTAATTTTTTAAACAACCCGGTCGAGTAACTGAGGCTTTCGCCTTGAATAGCTTAGCATGTTGAGTATCTAAGAGTCGCTGTAAGGCTCATATTATTGTTTTAGTCGTTTGTAATTTTCTTTTCCTTTCATTCTTTTCTTTTTTTGTTTTCGAATCGTTTATGTTAACCCATTAGAAATTTTTACGAGTCATACTTTTAAAACTCTCTCTGTTTTCCTTTTTATACCTATACACTCTTTTTTTTATATATATATATATATATTTTTTTTTTTTTTGTTTTCTTGCGCGTAAAACCATTCAAGTTCCTTTGACAGTTTTCTTTACCCTTTGATAACCTGCTTTAATAAAAGAAAAGAAGAAAAGTGTTTGCTTTAATGCTAACTTTCTCTTAATTAGTGGTAAAAGAAATGTAAAAACTTTTGTCTCTTTGCTTTAAATGAAAGGGATTTACTGCTTTTCCAGCTTTTATTGTCAGACCAATTTTTATGGCATAAATTAATTTAAATTAACTCTTAGTTAATGAGAATATTTAGCAAAATTTCTAATAAAAAGTTTCAAATTGTTCTTTCATTTTAGCAAATGATTGTTGCGTTGCACGCTGTTCCAAAAAATACAATAAACATTTATTTAATAATTTGTACACGTCCGTCCATTTGAGTCTCTTCTTTAGGGTCTCTGGAATTACCTTCGGGATGTGGCAAACAAGTTGACAACGTGAATATACTCGTCATCCTTTGATGATGGGTATAATAAGGAAAAGTATTGTGAAGACACTACAAAATGTCGAATTCGAAATTCGCCTAAACATATACCGCTGTACATCTGTTCATTCGTGCAATAACAGTGGCAAAGATTCTCCCGTTCGCAAAAGTGAAAATATCGACTTCAAATTTAGCGAAAACATTGGCAGTTCTTCCACACAACTTTGTATTGAAAATGAGCCGAGTCGGTTAAAGGGCACGCCAACGTTGTAACCATAAACTGAGCTCACCTCCGCGTTCTGGGTTTTTGGCCCATTACTCATAAGTGACAATAGACATATAATAAAAATTTCGACTTGGAAAATATCAGCCACACCCGTTCATTATTATAAGTGTTAGAATTTAGTATTTTCTCTTCTTCTCTAGTGGGTATAAAAAATTCGTTCACACCCGAATCTCATTTTCTCAATTATTTTAATTATTCTAGACGAGTGTCTGATTGTGTAACATTCATCTTAATTCAGCAAATGTAAACTCAGAATGTGTATATGTGTGAACACTCTTACAATTTAACAATTTTCGAACAAATGCCAACGAACTGATGGGTGAAATACAATGTAGAATTTTGCACTGCTCTAATTTATAGTCTTTTTGGTGCACATTGTTGCACAATAAGGCCCGGAAGAGGGCATTTGTAAATGTGCAAGGATTAGTAATTTTCTGATAACGTACCTTTTGGCAAAGTCGTCGAACTTGAAAGGTTTTTCTACCATGCTTTCGGCTAAAAAAAATTCATGTTAATGCAATTATCAGTCCTTTGATGTATTTTATATTTGTATTCCGTACCTTCAAGTTCTTCGTTTTCTTCTTCATCACTTTCATCAGAGTTCTCTTGATTACCGATATTTTCATTAGGATCATCTGAAACAAAACAAAAGCAAAAGATTGTAGTAGAACACTTAGTAGATAGCAGCGATCGAGATAAATAACTAATAACAGTTATTATATAAGTTAAGGGTTAACTTGTGCTAAGGTGGAGTAGCAGTTGCAACAGAGTATTTAATCAGGTCAAGAATGAAATCTATTGCTTGCATTTGAGGATGGTTCAGCTTAAGGCGAAGAGGAGTGCGAGCACAACTCTCATCTCGGTCTTTTTCGTAAAGAATTCAATGGAATCTTGTAAGCAATAGCGAAGAATGATATTCGAGATAATAAAAATTAGTTTTGGTCATTAGATCATTTAGATGTTGGTAGAGTAGAAAATAAGCGAAGCACTGTAGCTCTTCTCTAAGTAACGATATATTGAATTACGCTGAATCCAGAGAATTATGCTTGTTGTAAAGACCAAGGGACTTGTACTTTAAAATTTTATATATCTTAATAATTGTTGAGCAATCCTGTCTTTGAAAGCCAGCACGAGCAGTAAATGATCGCAAGGGTTTCCATTTTTCTTTAGCGCGCAGCAAATTTATTTTATTGGGGAATATATAATGCCCAGTAGCCAGAGATAAACGAAGTTAGTCTTTCTGCTAAAAGTTTTCTTAGCTTTTAGACTGCTACTCAAGCATATTATTATTATTATTATTATTATTATTATAAATTTGGCCAGAGAATAAAAGTCCTAAGACTAAAGTCTTAAAGCACTAACATCTAAGGCTTTCGGCTTTTTATTAAAAACTCTACCGCACTTGAGGGTTGACCCACGACTATTGAGTTTCTAGTCGAGACTCTTGCCTCGGCCACTCAGGCGGATCTACTCAAGCATAGCTTTCTAAGGTTTGCTGAATTTTATCGTTAAATCGACTAAAAGGTTAAGAGGCGAAGAAATTTCGTTGTTTTGTTGTGATTGCACCTATGTATATGCACATATATATAAAAAATATGTCTGTATGTGATGTCGTTTTGGGTGTTATGTACATATGCCAAAGATTACACCCCAGGTAGTGTAGGGTATAAAAACTGATTTTTCTAAGCTAACTTTACTGCTGTCGTAAAAATTAGTCAATAACCCCTTTAATGTTGGCAAATGGTAAAATGTTATCATCGCAATTTGGCAAAGGCTATTGTAGTAGGCACTTATAGACAAACACAAACATACGCACACGCCCAAAATAGCATAATATTTTAAAGGCAATAGTACGCGGCAATGTGTATCGGTCCATAAATATTCTACTATCATATGGGTGGACAGGACATCATAACAATTGTGTCATTGCACTGCTAAAGAAAATGGTAGCAATAATAACAACAACAATAATAAGAAATTCTTGAGGCAGCCAAACAGGCAGCAATCGAACAAAGAGAAGGCAGACGGCGGAAATAAATGAAAGATAATCTCCTTTGTATATGGGTAGCGATAATGCACAAACAAACAAGCATACATATACACACACAAACATACATACATGCGTATGCAAGCATACACAATCACAATAAGATCAACGACTTTTATAACATTTATCGAAATACGTCTGCACAGAAGAAATAAACAAGAAATTAAGGCGGAAGAAGTGACCACCTACTTACTATAAACTCAAATGAATTCTGAAGTTACAAAAAAAAAAAAAAATTCAAAAATGCTTTTTAATGGAAAAGAAAACTTGCGGGTATAAACCATCGCGAATGAAAACAACATTACAATATTCAAAGATATCTGATGAGCTTTTCCAAGTTTTGAAAAGTTGCCCGCTTTGAAAATAATAAACAGTCACGGGATGTAAAAACTTTTTCTACAAAAGTTATATTGAGTTAATAATTTAACGTCATCACATCGCTTATATAATAGCAAAAAAAAAGAAATTGTTGTCCGCCTAAAGGCTTTAAAGTTCAAAGTTCTCTTTAATTCTTTACAGAAAATTTATCAACATTTCCTTATAGTTTTTTTTACTGTCGTTTTGGCAAACCCCTGCAAGTATGTTGTTCTGCGCTGCACAAATTTAAAATTGATGTATTCATAGCCTTACAGTCGAGAATTGCCAGTGAAATATCACGAAATTCATAAATGTTGTATTAAAGTATTCGAGTCGTTGTCGCTGACGACGATAACGAGTCTAGTGTTTGTCTGTGTATTGGTTTAGTGAGATATACCTTTATCTTTGCCTAAGCTCAGCATTTATGTCCTATGTCCTGAACAAAATATCTGATGATATTTTTTTTTCCTTTTTTTATTAGTATTGTGTAGCATTGTTTGGCTAAATGCTTCATCGGTTTCGATGCTAGCATATATATTCATTGCGTCCATGTTTATGTTGTTTTTTTCATTTTTTTTATGCAATTGTAACTGTATGCCGGTTGATTGTTTAGTCGGCATCAAATTCATATTTATTGTGACAAAATACTTGACGTATGTACGTACGTACGTCCGTACGTGTAGTGAAAAGGCCGAATAAAACATTGACAAGTTTTTATTGCCACGTCAAAAGCACATATCTATAGATTGCCCGGAGTATGCGAGTACCCGTTATATCTGTGCTGGTGAGTATAGATAACTTTTGACAATAGAACATGCAAAGGCAATTTGCAAATTTTGAGTATCGAGTATTGCGAATGCAAAGCATTATACTATCGCATGGAAAGCGAAGCTTTCGTAATATTTGCTATGCTATCTGTGCACAGAATCCCGTATCACAGTAGTCTCAGATAATAACTATGTCCTCGGCGATGATGTTTACGAAAAATAATCTCTGCTTAAAAGAATAAAAAAAAAGATACAAAAAGCATTTTTTTTTTTTTTTTTGTAAAACTGTTCCCAAATTATTTTACGAGATTGCCGCGGAGAACGATGTTAACAGTTATCACTGATTTTCTAGTTGCTATTGCAATCCAAAATATTTGGGTGCAGATGGCGTCTATAGTCCGCAACTTTATTAATTATGTTGAAATTTCAGTATTTCCAAACTTTCTTCTATTGGTGACTGCCTGGCTTAGAATCAATACTATTTTCCTAAAAATTGCTGCTGCCCGACCGTCCAATCCGGCACGTACCACACGAAGATCCACTCTATCATTGGCCTTTGTATCATCTAAGAAATACCGCCCGAGAATGCAGTCTAACCCAAAGATATTTACTCTACACGTTACGTACCATTAACGTTGTGCCAAATGGGTTAGTTTTCTCAAAAAAGTCCGTCAAAGAGACTGAACTGTAAAATGCTAAATTTATTTTAAGACTCAAAAGCCAAGCGTTGATTGCCCAGTATAGTTCCGTGCGTACCATCCACAAATCCACTCTAACCCCAGTCCAAAAATGTGGGCCCGAAGATCCCCTCTAATATGTACCGCCCGGAGATGGAGATGCCCCATCCAAAGTTTAATACATTTTTCGCAATACGTATAGATGGTTACGTGCCGTCTGAAGTTGCAACTCGTTAGGTACTGTTTGGAGGTCAAGTCCTTCGATACGTAGCGCATAAGAGTCCAGTTCACCTATTTGTTCAGTTCCTCTTCTCCCTACCGCTCCAATGTTCCGCAAAATAAGTACCGTGTGAAGGTCCACCGCGATGCGCAGAAATTGAACGCTCAATATTATGTATGCCGTCTAAAGATTCACACTAATACGTGGCGCCTGAAAATCCAGCCCGATGTGTATCCTTTGAGGATCCAACAATACCACCTCAAAGCTCGCTACGTCCGACCTTTGCAAAGCTTTTTTAGAATGCATTCTCGATTATAACCTCGACTCTTGTTAAGGTTCGATTTCAATGGAGTAAATATATAAGCATAGCATGTATATAATTTTATTCCCAAGGAAACGTTGCTCGCTTTGTTTACCAGTTGTCTCATCTACCGACAACGTTTTACCGATCTTACGATAATTCGCACAATCACATCCAATATTGATACGGTAATGCATAACCTCATTGGACGAATCACCCTTTCCGCGTGAAAGTTCTACCAAAAGGTTGGAAATAGAAATGGTATTCTTGACCTCTTTTTAATAAATCTTTAGTTTTACCAAAAATCTTCGTAAAATTGAGGTATGCACTTAATAGGGAATGGCTATTGCGACCTTGAATTCGAAGAAGTATCTTAAAAAAGAAAGTACGTGGGGAAAGTACGATGCCTAAAGGAAGAAAAACTATAATGCTTCTTCCACTGGAAAGTTCGGCTCTCAAATTAAAATTATTTGTTGAAAGAATCGCCTTCAACAAGATATTGGTAAGCCTTCCATCAGGAAATGAATATGCGTCTTCCCTCCTTTAGAAAGGGAGTTATATCTTGCTTTAGCTCGAGATTCAAATTATCACCTTTCGTGAAACACGGGGATGTCGCGCGGTGAAATGGCCGTCCTCACCTAAATCGGCTTTTCTTCACCTATCCTATGCTATCTACGCACTATGTGGAAAGGAAACAGTTCGACACATTCTCGTAAAATAAAACCCTTTAAATTAATAGCTGCATAAAACTCGACTTATGGCTTGCCTTATTGATTTATATTTCGTGCGAAACTTGCGAACTGTGGCCGCCAAACTTTCATTATTTTCGAATTATTGCTCAACAACGACAACGCGCTGTCCGCTCGTATAAGGCTCCATATTTACTAACCCGAATCTATCAGCTGTCAAACTGTTTTTTTTTAGGATTGCCAACAGTCTACTCCGCAAATGGTGGCACAGTCAAATCTTGCCTAAATTGTGGCACACCCTTTATAATAGAGCTTAGGGACAGGAAACCTTGTGTGCCATTAATTTTGTAAAATGTTGAAATTTATTTTTTGCAATTCATACTGTGCCCCGTAACAATAAAAGCCACGATTAATGAGTGCAAGTTTCAACGAAAGCCTATGACAGGCTTCAAAGTTGATAATGTATTTTCGTTTTTTTGGTCATTGCGTCACATTTAAAGGGTGAAAGAAAAAATCTCTTTCCATTTTCCTGGGGAAAGAAACTTTGAGATATAAAATTTTCTGAGTCTGTCAAAAA